TTTAGTACTATACATTAATCAATTTGTTAATTTAAAAGTAAATATTAAAACACCCCAGATAAACATCAATTTTTTTGTGTCATGTGGTATGTTGAATGCAGCACTGGTTCAAATTAGATGTTTGTGAAGTCAAAATACTAAGTTTATAGTTTCATACAAATTATAAACTCAAATTACAGATACCTACTAGCTAGAATATAAGAATAAGGTCTTTTCTATTTGCTAAAATATTGTTCACATAATAAATCAAAAACAGTGGCACCCCACCCACTTCTTTCTATTTTTGGAAATGCTTCCTTATATACACTTCTATATATGACATGAATAACGATTCAGAAGCTCAGAATGTCCCCCAAGTGGTTTTCACAGCCTTTCTAACGTTCCTTCTATGAGTTATTTTTTTAAACCAAGATTTCGGTGAGGTAGGTTGTGTCTTTAGTCTGCTTGAAATTTCATATTTTTTTTTAGACCCAAATAAAGCTTATTTACTAAGATTGATAAATTATGGTAGCATTCTATGGTATTGATGTAGTAATTTAGGATTTTTTAGTTATTCAAATGTATATAAAAAACCTAAAAAAAATATTTTGTTTCATATCCTCCTTCAGGTGCTCGCGTCTTTTGCTGAACTTTGAAGTGATAGTTTGGTAGTGACACATAGAGGGAGTCACATGTGTCACGTGATAGTAGTGCTTTCCTATTGGTGGAGAGGTGATGCATGATGATTTGCATGAAAGACTTGTTGGAACTTTGGATTTCAACAGAGGGAGGATGAAGGCTTGTGGCATGCGTTTCTGAAAAAAGTTTGCACATAGAGGGCAACACAAGATGAGAAAAGCTAATCTTGTGAGTTGAGGGAGTACCTATCAGAAATACAGTTCCATATAGGAAAATTATAACTTTTGTTTATTTCAGGTGCTTCTTCTTCAAGACAACTGTCTGACAACCTTAAAGGGGGGAGGAGTACTTGACGATCTGCAAGAATTGAAGGTTAGTATTTGCAAATGCTGGTAATATAAAATATTTAATTATAGTCAGTATTTATAATTAATACATATACATCATTTTAAGATTTTTTTTTACCATAGGTCAAACATTTTTTTTGCATTTTATAAAATATGTCAATGATTTTTAAACCTGAAGTACAGCTTGCATCAGATGAAATGCTTTTCAGAAAGTACATTTGTTTTTAAAGTGAACTTCAAATATTATATTAAGCTGTCATTATTTGTATATTTCACTTCTGAAAGAGACTTAAATTAGCTTCATGTCAGATAAGAATTACTTTTCGGTTTGATCACAAGGTGGTATGGTTTTAAATAAATTTGTTTACTAAACTCACTATTCTAAAGCATTTTAAAAGTTTTTGAAAACATGGAGTGTATGATTATGTATTTAAATGAATTACATGCATAAATGGAATGTAAACATAAAACACAACATCAAAAGATAGAATATACTACATTTTCTAGCACTTTCTTAGATGTACATCAGTGAAATAATACATTTAGTTATTTGATACACCACATATATATATAAACATCTCAAAAGCTTCAAACATTTCTTTATTCCAAATGTAAAGTGAAGTGTCAGACATATTTTGTTATTTCGTAGTTATGACATGATCATGACTTTAAACAAGTAATATATAGCTTTTCACTTCTAAATTTATCCAGCTCTCTGGATGTGTGACTAAGTGTGTATACAGAAGTATCAGCTTTCACTTAAAATTAGTAATTTCATATAAACATACAGTGTATAACAAAGTATATTTGAAGAAGGTTAGTAATAACTGTCTTTCTATCAAGTTAAGTTGTTCGGAAATGTTGAGATATTTTTCAGCTGTAACAGAAACTTGTTTTAATATGAATTATAACACTTAGTTATATTTGTAATCATTTCAGTTTTAGGACAGCCAAAGAGTGAGAATGATTCCATGTATCTTTAGAGTGTAGAAAATTAGAGAATATGAATGTAATTTATTAACTTGGTAGTTAAATTGTGTAGCAGTAGCAAAATAATTCCTTTACAATAATGTTAACAGCAAAAGCCTAATCAATTTAATGTTACAATAAGAAACAAAAGTTCAAAGGATTTAAAAATGTGAGTATTTGAAAGAGAATATAAAAGTTATATGACATCCCTACAAAATTATCAAATAAGACAACAGACTTACTATCCTGTCCCCCGGTGAGACAGTGGTAAGTTTACAGACTTACAATGCTAAAATTCAGCAGAGTTCTATTCCCCACAGAAACTTAAAACAAACATAGCTTTCCTAAACTGTGTGATTTAAATATTTACATTTCCTAACTACATATACATATGCTATAAAATGGGTTTACAAGATACACTGATATCTATAGTATGGAAAACAATTTTCAAAATTAGTATAACACTTAAAACTTGTTCATGTAAGTTTTGATGCATGTGGAAACTATCAGTAGAAGATTCATCATTATTGTAAAACCTCTTCAACAATGTTAGCAGTAAAACTTTGAAGGTATTTTTTACAGTATTTTTTGTATCTAAACTGTTTTCACCCATTTCTATAGTATTCAAAATTAATTCCCAGAAGTAACTAAATATTCATACTTAAGTACTTGGATATGCTGCATATGTGAATACAACTGCTTTAACAGGGGTACTAAGGAAATATACTCATCTTGTTCGTATGAACCTTACAAACAAAAACAAACTACAGCTAAACTGTGATCTACCATTAATCCAGTTGGGCTAATTTTTATCATAGGATAGTGCAAGTTATAATATGAAGCTTTTGTTGTGGCCAAAAATTAGATGATCATTATTAATGTAAGCAGAAGACATATATGTTTTTTAGTTTGTCCTACATCATCATGCTGTTGGATTATATTGTCAGGAACAAGTAGTGTAGATGCTGTTGGAGTAGTTTGTCAGGAACAAGTAGTGTAGATGCTGTTGGATTAGATTCTCAGGAACAATAATGTAGATGCTGTTTGAGTAGTTTGTCAGGAACAAGTAGTGTAGATTGTGTTTGAGTAGTTTGTCAGGAACAAGTAGTGTAGATGCTGTTTGAGTAGATTGTCAGGAACAAGTAGTGTAGATGCTGTTGGAGTAGATTGTCAGGAACAAGTAGTGTAGATGCTGTTGGAGTAGATTGTCAGGAACAAGTAGTGTAGATGCTGTTGGAGTAGATTGTCAGGAACAAGTAGTGTAGATGCTGTTGGAGTAGATTGTCAGGAACAAGTAGTGTGTTATGTAAATTCACATAAATAGTTTGTAGTTTTACTTAGTGTACACATGTTTACAGAAAGATGTTTCATGTGTGATTGTTTAAACAATTAACTTTCTCATATTATGTGTCCATGCAAAATGTCTGTAGACTTTTAGTTTGATAATACTTCTTAATACTCTACCGTTTTTGTTTTCTTTATCAGGTGCTGAATTTGAATTACAACAAGATTAAGGAACTTCCTGAATGTTTTTCCTGTTTGAAAAAATTAAAGATATTAAATCTTAGAGGTTTGTAAAGTATATAACTTTTATTTCTAAAATAAAGATAATTTAAGAGTTTTGTTTATTTAAGAAACAGTTTGTTTATAGAGCTTTAACAGTTGCTTGTTACTTGAAAAATGTCAAAAGTTAAATTGTTGGCATTTGTTTAGAATCTTAAGATAATATAATGTAATATAATTAAAAAATATATTTTTCAAACAATCTACTCAAATATAATATATTATGTTGTCACAATACTTGTTTGAAATGTATATTATTACTTTTGTTTTATTACTTTCAATTTCTAAAAGGCCAAGCATGGCCCAGTGGTTAGCATGTCATTCTGTGGGTCAAAGGTTCCATGGTTCATAACCCATAACCAAAAACAGAAAGAAAATCATATTCTGCACTTTGGGATAATGGATACTTTGTAAGAGTGACAGTCAAATCCCACTATTTGAATAGTGTAGCCCAGGAGTTGTAAGTACGTGGTGTTGACTAACTGTCTCTCCAAAATTAGTGGCAACAACAAACAATCAATTTCTAAGTTCAAATTTTGAACTAATGTTTCTTAATATTGTTGATCTGATGTTAACATTGCATCTTAATTTATAGATCTTTATTGTTTGCAATGCAATCCTGAAATAAGCTTAGTAGCACCTGTGAATTCTATAGCATATTTGGATATACTGTATTATAATCCATCTGATTTTCTGATACCTTCTTTAGGTAACAAGCTTCAATATCTCCCATCTGTGATATGTAAATTACCACAGCTACAAACTCTTGATATAAAGGATAACCAGGAACTTCACCTTCTTCCAAAAGAATTATCACTGGTTCAAACTTTAATAACCTTGACTTTAGACTGTGATCAATATTCATATCCTCCCACAGGTAAGTTACATGATAATATTTAGTAATGAAATAAACTTTTCTCAACAGTGAAAATAAGAATTTGTTAAATTTAACCAAACTTTTTTTACCAGGTACTGTTCCAACAGAATAGTTCAAACTCTTAAAATATCATGCACATCAAAAATAGAAAAACTTAAAGTATCAGCTCATATAACCAGATAAAAATAACCCTAAATAGATCAGCTGATAAAATAAAGATAAATAATATAGGAAATTAAATACACAGAATAATACATATATACTTCTACTAAAAAAAACAGGGAAAAAATAAAACCAAGAAATAGCTGAATCTAATCTTAGCTTTCTGCCTGAACTCTTAATTAAATATACTATATTTTTTATGAGTTAAACCTGAATATAAGTCACTTAGGTAGTAAAGTTAAAAAATTTAACAATTTAGATAGTATGTACAAATTGCATTGATATATTAAGTGTATTTGTGCAAAATTAGTTAATCACTCTATACGTACTCTTTTACGTGTTTAACCCTTTTAACACGGGCAGATGTGATTATCATCCGCTTAAGTAGGGAAGGACATTTATGCAACGAAAACAGTAACTCTATTCTTCATAAAACCTTGTAAGATTTGTTAAAGTTTATAAGTGTTTTGTACAAAAAGAATGACATTACTCTAAATACATCTTTCTAATAAAAATTTATCTATAGTAATTGTTTGCACTCAGACTGATAAAATGACTTGAGTCCAAGATGATTTTCATTCTAAATGTAAAAATAGTTTTATTCATTGTATAGTTTCATATTTCATTTGTATAACCTTTAGAACCTCCTAAATGAATATCAAAAGATTTTGTAAGTAGTTTTAAAGGTTTTTTTGAATAAAGAACTTAAAGCTTAGATAACTAAAAACTTTGAATCACAACATATGTTATAATGTTCACTTCATTCACATACAGTGATATTAAAGGTGTTTAATTAAATTTTGAATGTAACACAGTGACCTGTTCATAAAAGGGTTTAAAGGGATACAGTCATGAAAGTGTTGATTTGAATGTATTGTTATTTTTATACACTTTATAACAATTAAATAGTTTAAGTACTTTAAAATATTTTAATATTTAACACACACATACACACACACACACACACATATACATATATATATATATATTGATTTACTAACTAGTAATTCACTTGTATTTATTAAGTGAAAAATTGTGTTGGCTACTTGTATTTTCATGGTTATCTGTTTTTAGTTGGACCCAAAGAGAACCTTGTTCAATAGTAATTTATAATTTATTGTAATACAAAAGCTAACACTATGAAGATGTATATCATGGAATACTACATGTAATAGTTATTATCCAATGACATATTTAACTTTATGGTTGCATTAATTAGTTAATTGAAATGCATTTTGTCTTTATAGTAATTACTAATATGTTTAACTTGTGAATTTATAATCTTGCCTGTATATTTGTTGGCCTAAACCTTTTGCTTTCTTTCCATTATACCTATATATATATATATATATATTCCTTATAACTTTTATAAATTAATATACAGTTTATTAAAACTGTTCATTTATGGAATTCAAAATTTTTTTTCTTACTTGTACTTTTTTGTGAGATAACCTTCAGTCATTTAGAATCTTCAATGATGTTGAACTTGAGTGTCATTTCAGTGTTGTGAAAACAAATTCTTAGATATGACTACAGGATTAAGGTTTATATTATTTAGAAATTTCTTTGTATTTAACAGATATCTGTAAAGAAGGTACTACGGCCATTTTGAAGTTTTTGAGTTCAGGTATGAATATGATAGTATTTTTCTTTTGTGCATTAAAAACATTTAATACAATTAGTGAATGAATATATTTTATCATATATTAATCCTCAGTAGCATGACCAAGACAGAATAAATACATGATAAGGAGAAATGATTACTAGTACAAATCTAAATGTGCAATAGTTCCAATATATCATCTTACCTCTACTTACAAAAAACTTTCTTGATTAGTACTGCTCTCTGTTGGCACTAATTTTTTGCTTGCCACTAGCCTTGTAACTCCCACTTCTTTCTGCATATCTACATGCAAATGATCATGCAGCAACCCTCCACCAATAGGAGTGCAACACTACCCCTATCATAACTAGCACCCTCTCTAATAATGCACCTGTTAATCACTTCTGGATTGGCAAACTTACTGTTAAGATGTGTTTGTTTTCACACACGATTTTTGTTATATTTTCATGTAGTGCATTTGTTCTTGATACTTTTTGTTCAGTTTGTTTGAGTTTATACTTTGTAAGTATGCACTCACAGTTTCAAGGAGTTACAACTACCACTACTGTTACTGCACCTGCAAATTTACCAACCATGTCTTCAGGGTCAGTCCCACAGTTATTGGCCGAGGACGTGACACCTATGATTCGTAGAGGATTGTCTAATTTCGTAAGACATTCATTACCACCTGAGGAGTATCTCGTCACACCAGTGCCTGGTGAATATGCTTCTTAGTCACATGTCATATCAGGGGAGTTGCCCAGGCCTCCTCCCTTTATTGACTTGACCAACCAGGTTTGTTTGATTTTGTCTCCTGTTACCTATGATTCTACCCCTGCCCTCCTTTGGGATGAATTTTTGGGTCAATATTGGCTTTTTATCCTTCATCATGCTAGTTGTTTTGGGGAACAGTTGTGATCAGGGGTCATTATGCCTTATCCCCCTTGTACATTGGATGATCATGCTTTTTTTTCATTTAGCCAACTACTCATATTTAAACTCCCAAAGTTTGCAATTTCTTATTCCTTTGTGGGGTTCGTACCATAATCCTTCAGTTTCTTTTTCACAACCTCGATTTTTCCATCTTCATTTTATGATGTCCACTATTATCTCCACTATTTTGGTGGAGGCTATTCATCAGTTTCCTGAGGGATTTTCTGATGATTCTCATAGTTTCCTATTTGCTACCATGGCATGCCTCTCCTCTTTGGTCCTGGCTTTACAGACATGGCTGATATGCTGTTGGGATCTTTTAGGTTGGGATACTCTTTTATCCAGGGTTCATTTACTCAATACTTCTTCATGTAATTTGTCCATGACACCATATTTCTAAGAAGAGGTATTTGTGGGTCTTCCCAACACTTTGGAGTCCAGGGTTGAATCAGCCCATATACACAAAACCCTTTCCTCACTGGCTTCTCCCACGTACCTGTTCCTGTCTTAGTTGCTCACCTCCCACCTTCTAAGTATTTGCCAGTTCCGACTTCTCGTCCATCTCTGTTGCACAATTGTTTTGCTGCCCATTGTCATTTTTGGGGCATTCCACGTTGGTGACATAGGTCGGGGCCAGTAGGGGCCAGACTCTTCCACTTTGAAGGTTGTTTTTGAACATCTGGCCCTCAGTTTCCTGTCATCTCCCCTGTTGTCTCCTCATCCAATTCCCTCCCTCTCTCTCCCCCACCCAAGGTGGTTTGGGATT